TACTAGGACAGGGGAACGCCAAAATATTTTGACTTGTTGGTTAGGAGGCTAAAGGACCATTGGTGGAGGCATGACACAGTTGAGAAATTGCCGTCTGCATATGAGGCACAAAGTTATGGCAACAGGCCCCTCCCACATGCACAAAGGAGTAACAGGATTAAGCTTCAAGTCGAGGGAGTGACTCATTGGGCAGATTTGTTGGATAGAGTGGAAAGGAACATGGGTGCGGCGATATTGTGATTGTGGGTGACAAGCCGATAACTATGTCACATGGGATGGGCATAGACTTCCCACTTTGCTACGGGACTTCGCATGGTCTTCGTTGATATTATCAAGTTATGGGAGTAGTCCTATCCCTATGAGTTTATAAGAATATTATTTGATATATTAGTAGAGAAATAAATATTTGCCACATTTTAATTAAAACATAAACATAATTTATTTTTTCTCTTGATGAATTAATATTTGCTAAGTTTGGAACTCGCAACTTGTAAGAGTTGATCAACAACATTAATGCTAATTGAATTACTATTCCATGGACTAACATATATTAATTGGTCATATCCGTTACTTTATGCCAAGCTTGTTGCTATTAACCATGAAGAACTGGGAAAAATAAAAAGAAAAGTAGAGAGCGGCACGCAAAGGGCTGCTAGCTATAGACAAAACATGTTAGCGTGGGACTATCCCAATCCTTTTTCCATTAAAGGCAAGCTTAAAATTGATGGAGGGGACTATTAAATTCACCTACATGTTGCAATATTTTATTATTGAAGTCAGAGATTGATTAAAATCAAGATGGGATGCCTTACCTCTTTAACAACAAGATTCAAGGTTATGCTTTAATTTTCTAAAATTACATTTCGGCATTTCCTATTCAATAAAATTAATTAATTAAAATATTTTTATTTATAACTATAAATATCTACTCTAAAACTAAATATCCAATTATGGAGTTATCTTTGTAAGAATGCCTTAAATCTTATTATTTTGGGAGTATTTATGTGCACCAACATGCATTATGTTTATATCTAATTGTATTTAAACTCTTCAAGATAATAACACAAACAAGGACCTCGTATTGAATTGGATGGGCTTGAGAATATGAATAAGTTGCCATCATTCTTTTGTGGGTTGTACTACTTTAATTATCCCATTTTCATTTGGGTAGTCCATCTTATTTATGTGTTTTATTCATTGCCCATATTTTGACTACATCAACTCATACGTCTTACCCTTACCTAGGGGAGCAAAATTCGATTCGATTTGAAAAATTAAATTTTTTATTCGATTTGACTCGAAAAAATTTTAAATTCAAATCGAGTTGTAAAATGAAACTCTAATAACTCGAAATTTTTAGTAATTAGTGGATTTATTTTTAAGTTTAACTCGAGTCCTTGAACTTTGTATGATATATGTATATCACATATGAAAAAATATGAAAAAAAAAATATATTTGTATTGTATATATAGTTACATAAAGTCATTTAAATTGGAATCAAATAATATTATAATATTATAAATATTTGCAATTAAATTTAAACATAAACTCTAAAAATCGACTCGACTAGAATTTTATATAAACTTGACTCGACTCGAAAAAAATTCAAATCAAATCCGAGTTATAAAATAGAACTCGTTAACTCGAATAATTCAAAATTTTTTGACTCAACTCTATTACCACGTTTTCCCAAAGTCCAATTTTTAGAATAAAAAAATACTATTCCCAATATATTACGATGTCCTAGCAGTACATGATTTTAATTATGTTGAAAAATTCTTTAAGTTTCGCGCGTGCAGGGACTTATGTAGGATTTTATGTTATGAGTATAAATTTAAATTTATAAAATTCTAAGTGACGAATTTAAACTTATAAAATTTTAGGAGAGGAAAACTGATTTTCAATAAAAATATAAAAAACTAATTCTAAAATATAAGATAATTTTAAATTTTTAGAAAGGGTGAATGCCCCACCTGACCTCCTTCGTCCATCTCGACCGTCTGACATATAGATGTAAGAGTCAAAGTGAGGCGAGCAGAGTAGAGATTTATAAATTTTCCTTGTGGGTAGAAGATAAAAGAAACCATGCTGATTATGTAAAAAAAGAAAGTAAGGAACATGAATCAATTTATTTCAATGATTTATTGTCAACTAATTAAGAATATTTAAAACATGTATCCCTTTATAATACCTTAACTTAATGAAGAAAAAAATACAGGGGAGAAGGCAAGAAGTGTCGGTGATGCAACAAAGAAACTGAAACCTCGAAGTGCTTGTCAGTCATGCACGAAGCTGCTGGACAAATGCAAGTGGGTTCCACTCTCAAATGTCGATCACAACTCTATGTCATGAATGGTTTGCCAATGCTACAATAAACGATTAGGATTCCTTTATTTAAATGTTTAATTACCGAAGTTTGGGTGTTCATCTCTTTTATTTTGATTCGGAAAAGTTTTATCATAATTTTTATAGAAAAATCATTTTCGACACCTTTGGTTTATATAAATCTATATGTTTTAAGGGATTTTAAAAGTTTTTATTTAAAATTTAGGATTTAGAATTAAATTGTATGGTTTAAAATTTCAAGGGGGTTTAAGAGATTTCATTCGTCTATTATTAAGGGGTTTAAAGCAATATATTATGAGTTAAATAATTTTTTTTTGTCTTGGAAGAGAGATGATTATTATGATGTTTTATGGACACGTTTTTAGTATGGAATTCATGACAAGGCTCGGAAGTAGATATAGCGAAATTGAATTCATTGTTAGTTCTAAAAATTGATAGCTTACATATTATAAAGACATCGTGACTTTGGGAAGGTGTAATGTCATGGTCGTATTGGGTGAATTTGAAGAGTAGTGATGTGGTTACGAGTTCTTTTGAGCAGTCCAGTGGTAACTATGCCCTCACGTCATAGCCACATATTTATATTTCACATTGACCACAAGAGATACATGAATAATGTATACATGTTTTTATTGATCTTCGATATATATGAATATGAGCTTTTTAGATTGATAATGAAAGTTAATTGAAGGATGTTAACATTTGGTTTAAAGTGTTCAAGCTTTAATTTTAATTGATTTAGTCGATCGAATCAAAATTTTTCGATTATTCGGTCAATTAATTTTATGTTTGATTGGTTAATGATTAATTTTTTTAAATTTCGATTAATTCGGTTAACCGACCGACTAAACTAATTTTGTTCAGTTAAGTTAACAATTTAAAAAGAAAATTGGTCTAGTTAACAATTTTAAAAAATTGATAAATAAATTTTAAGAAATCTAATCTGATCGATTATCTGAATTGACCTACTGAACACCCTTATTCCTTATGTATAAATCCCCTAGTAAGTTGTTTAAAATTGGCTAAATTTCATATTGATATGGATATGAGAAAACATTCAAAACGATATAAATATTATAGAAATTCAAATCCAACAAAGATGTAACTTCTATTAACATTACTCAAATTTTCATATGCATTGTCATATATAACATAAATAATTATTATTTTAATAATTAATTGAAGATGAGTACTCCTACTAATTTGATAATTAATTGAAAAATATATATTTAAATAAAAAAAAACTTGATTGAGTCTATGAATGTTCAATCGGTCGGTTCAGTTAACTGACCAAACCGAACTTTTAAGATTTTATTAACCGTTAATCGAACCTAATTCTTTTTTGAAAATAATTAATCGAATCAAACAAAGTTAAGAAGTTTTTAATAATTTCAATTAATTCAATTATTTGTCGATTTCAAACTGAATTAACCGATAACTAAAGTTGAAAAAAAATCATTAATCGTTAACTGACCGAACCTACAATTAACCAACCGATTAAGCAAAAAACCTTTGATTCGGTTGGTTAAATCGGTTTAACCGAACTTTGAACACCCTTAATCGAGTCTATTCACTTTTAATATTAATACTCCGTGGCATATACAAATATATATTTTAGAGTGGACATACATATGTTAACAACATAAAATTTTTAAACGGGATGAATACAAATAAAATTTCAGAGTGGACATCATCCGTAAAATAAGTAACTAATCGAAGAAAACTCAGATTTCAGAGTGAACACCACCAATAAAATAAGTAATTAATCGAAGAAAATTCGAATTTCATTGTCCACCTTCCCCAAGCTTTGGCTCCGCCATTCTTAACACTTGACATATTTCCTTTGAGCATAATATTTTCCAATATTTCGACGGATACACGGGGTTTATACATAGGATTAGTGTTTGATCGAGTTAAGTTGAGTTGAATCAAAATATTTTGAGTAGTTTGAGTTGACGATTACTATTTTACAAGTCGGAGTTGACTTAAATTTTTTTGAGTTGAGTTGAGTTTATAAAATTCGAGTATAGTTGATTTTTTGAGTTTCTATTGAGATTTAATTGTAAATATTTATAATATTATTTGATTCTGATTTAAGTGATTTTCTATAACCATATATACAATATAAATATATTTCTTCATATTTTTTTTCATATGTGATATATATATATATATATCATATAAAATCAAATGACTCGACTCAAAATTGAAAATAAATCTATTAATTACTAAAATTTTGAGTTATTTGAATTGTATTTTATAGCTCGATTTGAACTTGAAATTTTTTCGAGTCGAGTTTATCAAATTACAAGTCGAAGTCAATTCGAGTCGAATTTTTTTCGAGTCGAATTTTACTTACCCTAGTTATACCTTGGTGATTGTAGAAATAAATTTTTACAAAATAATATTTAAAAAAATAAGTTTTTTTGGGTGTTGAATACAAGTAGAAAGCACGAGAAGAAAAAATTATTTACCTGTATTTTTATATATAATGAAATAAAGGGAGGTAAGATAATAGGATGCTCCAACGATTGGTTGAGAGCAGTTTATATGAAAGACTTTGAAAAAATAAATGAGTAATAGATAAGAAAAGTAAACACGTCAGTTACATCCAACCCTCTCTGGCGCCTGCAAACACAGCCTAAAAAGGCTTCTTGTATAACAAACACAAACACACGAGTGTTGAGGAAATGGAGATCAGCGCCGTCCTCTCTAATTTCCAGCCTACTTACCTCCTTTCCCCATCTTCTCGCTCTTCCGTCTCCTCCACCGCCGCCGCCGTCGCCGCCGCCCGAACAGCTCTTCATCTTTCCTCCTCTCAGCAAACTCGTTTCTCTCCGCCGCTATTTCAAAAGGTAACATCGCTTCTCCATTCGTTTTCCTTTTTTTTCTCAGCGTGTTTGAGTTTGCCTATATCGATTATGCGTTTATTTTGCATTCACAGAAGCAAGTTTTAGCTTCTGCTTCGTGTCGTAATGTTAATGAAACTAACAATCCTTTTAAGAGAGCTGTCGTGTTATCCGATTCTTATAGGTGCGTGCCTTGTTTTCCTCTCTATTTGATGATTGTAAATCTGAAATTACACGATTGAGCTGCATTAGATTTGTTCAATTTTATTGCTTTTTAGTGCATTTATCTGACGCTTATGCTCCTTTTCAGTTACTCTTTTTTCTTTGATTATTTATCAAAGAACTTTTTCTTTCTTTCTTCTCTCAAAGTTCTAATTTTGCTCAAAAATGAAAGAGAGTTTAGTAGCAGCAGCAGCTGTGATTCCTTTGGTTGGTGTTTATTTCTGTTTTCAACTTTTTATTCTTATGGGGAAAAATAGTATTAAGAATTGCATTGGATATAAAAGAATGCGACAGTTTTCATTAATTAAAAATATTTTTGAGTACAAAATTCTCTAATGAAGAACAAATTGTTAGGGCTGCACTTGGATTTTGTGGCAAAGTGATAGACAACAAAAACGCATTAGGATGCACATTTGAGCAGTTGCATGCTTATAGGCATATTTGGTATATAGTTCAACAGGGAAATAGCTTTGTATACTTATTTTATTAAAGAGTTCTCTGCTTATAGGTATTGTATTATGATATTGTTAAATTTTTCTTTGTTCTTCTGTGTAGTGAAGCAACTGAATTAGCTGACATAGAGTGGGACAATCTTGGATTTGGGTTTATTCCTACTGATTACATGTATATAATGAAATGTACTCAAGGTGGAAGCTTCTCTAAAGGTGAATTACAAAGATTTGGGAATATTGAATTAAGCCCCTCAGCTGGAGTCTTAAATTATGGACAGGTCACATTCCTTAACTTTATGCCTTAGTTTATCTTTATCTTTTGCTTGTATTTGATGGTTTCTGTTCAGTTGTCATGCATCTGTTCTTATTTGCAAATCCTTACAAGTTAAGCTAGTTATATGCATATATATGTGATATAGCTTCTTTCATCACCTTTCCTCTAAAACTGAAAAAGAGAGCTCATCATGCCTGATATCCGCTCTAAGATAATTTGCTGTTGATGCCCATTTAAATTTTAACACATATTTTTTTTAAATTTATCTTTAAGCATCGTGATATAGCAGTTCTCTTTTCTGTCTCTCCCATCTTCATTTTCTGGTTTGTTCCTCTAGGGATTATTTGAAGGTCTAAAAGCCTACAGGAAAGATGACACTGTTCTTCTTTTTCGTCCTGAGGAGAATGCTCTCCGAATGAGGCAGGGGGCGGAAAGGATGTGCATGCCAGCACCCACTGTTGAGCAGTTTGTGGAAGCCGTAAAGGAAACTGTCTTAGCAAACAAACGTTGGGTAATTAATATTTTTGATTTGGAGCATTGAGTTTGGTTTGCGATTGGCTTTACCTGTTTTTTAAGTAAAGTTTTAATTTCTCCTTTCAGGTCCCCCCACCAGGTAAAGGTTCTTTGTACATCAGGCCATTGCTCATTGGGAGTGGAGCCGTCCTTGGTCTTGCACCTGCTCCTGAATACACCTTTCTTATTTATGTCTCACCTGTGGGAAACTATTTTAAGGTTTATTAGCTTTATTGCTTGATTTTTGGTCATGAATAAGCTGTATAGTGTGCTTTAAGGTTCTTACTTGCCCATCTACACACATGTATACTGTATCCTGGAAGGGTTAAAGTTCTATCTCCATATGCAACCCTGGAAGAAAGATATTAGCATGACTTTGTATGCAAGTGATTTTATCCTGAAAATAATTCAACACATTCAAATAGAAAAATGGGATGCTACTGTATCTGGAATATTGACCTACATGCAGATATCTTTGTTGAGCGAGAGACTTGTTTCACCATAAAATTTCATGATTTTACACACCATTATTTTAGAAATTTCTGTTGGCTTTTTGTTTAAGCTGCCATAGATTACTAGTCAATGAAGTTTGTATGTTGTTTTCTTCCGTGTGAGATTACCAACCAACTGTGGTTGTGCTAAGTTTGCTCTAAAATCCTTCTCCCTTCTCTCATGTTCATGTACAACGGAAGGTTCCTAATTTCAAGCTCTTAACTTTCTGTTTGGACTTTGGAGGTAGTCATTTACAACAATTTTTTTCTGGTCTAACATTTGCTTTAGGTTTACTCTTTGGTATCCTTTCAGTCCCCTTGTTTTGATAATTTTAGCCAACTGTCATATGATGATTACTCATTCACCAAATTTTTTATATGATTCCAGGAAGGTGTTGCTCCAATAAATTTAATTATTGAACATGAACTGCATCGTGCCACTCCAGGAGGCACGGGGGGTGTTAAAACTATTGGGAATTATGCTGCGGTAAGTTAGCTTTCTGGTTATTGTCAAATCCCTTTACTGATTTATCTGCCTGTGACAGTTGAATTGATTTTGATAGGGAAAAATGACTAATTAAAGTTTCACAAGCTAATGCCGTCTCTTTATGTCATATGTAGGTTCTGAAGGCACAATCTGCTGCAAAAGCCAAAGGATATTCTGATGTCCTCTATCTTGATTGTGTTCACAAAAAGTATCTGGAGGAAGTTTCCTCCTGCAACATATTCGTGGTGAAGGTATTACGGTCAGCTTATCTATTGATGGTTAAATTTGTCCCTTCCCCCACCCTAAGCTTTGTTGCATTACTCATGTTATCATAGAGCAAAGTGTTAAAATCAATCTTGTTCATTGTGCTCATGGATATTGTTGTCTTATTATCAGAACTGCATAACCATTGTTTCTCACTCGACCAAGCTCTGTTATCATGATCTCCTTGCTTTAACTTCACCCTGAATCGTTATGTGATGCACTAGAATTAAAAACATCTCACTTTTGTAGCCTTTCAGTGCACCCAACAACAAACTGTGGCTACCGTCATTACTAAACTGACTTTGACTGAATGACTCCTAGGTATAGCTGCAACACGACAGCTGCTTGTTAGAGCCTTATATTTTTTACTACGATGTAGCTGCTAAAAAAACCATCTGTATCGCTAAATACTTAGTTCAATTAATCCATAAGGATATTTTTTTTATTCTACATGCTAAAAAAGATGTGGTTAAATGATTTCCATGAATCATCTAGAAGCTATCGTGGTTCAAAAAAATAGAATATTATCAAAGAGTTTAGATTTTTGAGTTTAATAAGGCTTGTTTTAGATCTTTCTTTTATCATGGTTGACGAGCTAAAACATATTGAAGTAGTCCAATCGACACCAATATATCCCCGTTTTAACATATTTTTGTATTTTAGGGTAATATCATCTCCACTCCTTCAATAAAGGGAACAATATTACCTGGCATCACGAGAAAGAGTATAATTGATGTTGCTCGAAGTCAAGGGTTCCAGGTAATTGTTCAGTTTTGAAGATTCTTGATGAATTCATTTTGCCGAAATAAAGTTGTGTATCTGGAAATGTATGTGGCCAGATCTAGCAAATCTGGTTATGTTGCAGTTTAGTATCTGGTTTCTGCAACTTGTGGATGCTCTGGTGGCTCTATGGTGTTTCTCTATTGCTTTTTTAAAGAATGGTTACTTGTCATTTCAAATTACATTTTAGTGATAATGTCTCGGTGGTTAATTTTCACTTCAGACTACATTTTATTGATATAAAGAATGTCTCTGAGTGGTCACTTGTCACCTCGAGTTACATTTTGGTGATAGAGGCTTCCAGATCTCTGAACTTGGATAAAACGAGTTATGTTTCCTTGTTAATAAAGTTTCTTCAGTTGTGTATAACCTCCGAATATATTGAAAGGTATTTAGTACTCTTAGTCTTAGATGTAGTTTTTTTAAGAGAATAATACAGGGATGTCATCCACTGGATTGAGTTAATACCTTTTTCCCCAAATTTCTTAATTGTAATCTGTTTCAGTGAGTATGTAACGGAGCTCCTTGGATTACTTCTTAATGTTTATCTGCTGCTGACACAGGTTGAGGAACGGCTTGTGGAAGTGGATGACTTGCTTGATGCTGACGAAGTTTTTTGCACTGGGACAGCAGTGGTAGTGTCACCTGTTGGCAGTGTCACTTATAAGGGTAAAAGGCAATTACTTGTGCAATTTAGCGAACTCCTTTTTAATAATTTTGCATCTGCTTCATTTTCAGTTTACGTCTTCCATTTTTTTCCGTATATATAATTTATTGTGGCAAATGGAAATATTATGCATGCGGGGCTTATTAGCCACTTCTGCATGGAGCCATTATTCTAGTAAATAAAGTTTTAATACTTGCATGAAAAATTAGGCCCTTCATTTTATTTTTGAAGTATCTGTGTCAAACACCTGGGATGGGAATACGATCCTCCAAAAATCCTTCAAATGCATAGAAAAACATTAAAGTTGTAGAACATGCCCAAGTCAGATACAGACCCATTTCCAGTGAAATGGTGTCCAGGTGATGTAGGGGGTGGCTGAAGTTGAGCTTTAACTTGTTAATTTTACAAAAAATAAAAAGTTGGGATAAGTTAAATTTCTTGTAAAATACTTTTAACGTGCAGGGTATCATATGGATTAGATGGTTTCGGAGCTGTTTCACAGCAACTTTACTCGGTGCTTACCCAACTCCAGATGGGTCTTATAGATGAGAAGATGAGCTGGACTGTTGAGTTGAGTTAGGCATACTGTAGGAACATCTGGTTTGCCTTTCTAAAGACATCACCGCCTTAGGTAAAATGTGTTTTTTTTTTACCCTCCCGTTGTCTGAAGACAGTTTTTCTTCTTTTGGGCAAATGTTGGTCAGAAGTGTCACTGTTTGGTACCGAAGGATGTACTATTATTAGTTTCGAAGCAGGAAACCAAGAATATTGCGACCAAACATTGTTGTTTAATGGGCTTGAAAAGAAAAACTTGGAATTTACTAAATGTGATGGAATAATTGGAATGGTTTTGGAAACGAATTTTTCGTTGCAGTTTCTTTTGCAACAAATGGCGGGCCCTTCATCTCCTCCTCTCGTTTGTCATGGTTGTTTTTCTCGCACTAACCATAAAAGAAAGACTCTGGGTCAAGTCAGGTAAGGCCAAGTCAGAGCTGCCCCACATCCGATTGCTTCTTTCCTTGGTATGATCTGTCCAATGACATTTTTGAATCACTTTTTTGAATTGGCATTGATTCTCACTTCCAAACACGTACGCTTCATTTCATGTTTTCAAAGACCAGGTTATTCGTTAGGTTTGACGGATCCAACTACAATGAAGCTGGGTTTAGTATGGCGCCTCAATTTACTCGATTTTATATCTTTAAATTAGAGGTTATTACATTATTAGGCACGCATGATAATATGACCTTCAAAATATTGCGACAATAATGATATAAAATAAAATTTTGTTAGCAACTATAAAATTATGATTTAAATTTAAGATGATTTAAATTATGATTTCACATATATATATTCATATAAAATTAAAATTTCTTTATCATATTATATATTAAAAAATATATGTATAATTATAATATTTTTATATATAATTATATAAAAAGAAAAACGATAATTTTGCTTGAATAATGGTATAAAAAATTATTGGTGTAATATGTAGACATGTGATTTATTTTATGAACTGTCTTTGCCACTGTAGTCGATAAAAGTTGCTATGATTATACAACAAATTTTAGAAACCATCAGGATTATACGATAATTTTTACTTAAAATCATGTTTCTTAACTTCAACTGTATAAGAAAACCGTTGTGTAATCCTAATAATTTTTAAAAATTATCATGTTATCTTACGAATTTCATAAATTACTGTAATAAAGACTTCAATTTTTATAATTTTCTCTCTCTCGATTATTCCTTTGACGTGGTAAAAGTAGAGAGTATTGAACTTCAATTCTAGGTATTTAATTCGATTTTAAAAATAAAAGGAGAAATTCTTTGTATTTAATATTTGTAACATTTCATAGTCAAGCCCGTCGCACGTTTCTAGAAGCAAGGCATAATTTTCAGAATCACTGTCTGATTTCCCTTTCTCTTCATACCTACTAATTTGTAATTGATATTGATTGTAGTTTTTTTAACCAATAACGTTAGTGGGAGTTGTGTCGGTAAGTTTTAAATTTAGTAAATAATTATATTTAAAATAAATAAATTTAACCATTTTAAAATCTTATATAAATTGAATATATATTAACATACGATCACTTCAACTTATTAAAAGAGTTACAAAAATTAAGTATCCAATCATTTAAAACATGTTTGATATATGATAACACATATTTTTAATATATATAGAATAGCATGAACTATACAGCCTCAATAGTTAAGAGACTTGTTGTTATCCTTTGAGGTCTCGAGTTCGAGCACCACAAATATTAAGAATATAAACATTCATTGTCAAATAATCGAAAGTATTTGAATAGGTATTGTTCGAAATAGTGTAAATGATTTTTCTTCTCGACCATAGTTCACTCATAAAAAAACATATATGATAGTTTCTTTTTCATCTAAAGAAAATCATATACATTTATCTAATACTTTCATAAAAATCGTTTCACTTAAATTTTGAAATTATTACGTAGTCCTAGTAATTAAAACCTTTAAAGCCCAAAGGCACCATTATGAGGTGATTTGTGTCACATAACCAATTAATACGAGTGGCTTAACCTTTTTAGTTTATTTTAATCAATATGATTATGTGAACAGCAAATTTCTCCAGTCTTTTCAAACAACGTGGTTACAACAATACCTAGAGATTTATACAATGAAATAAACAAACAAAAAGCTTCATTAGAAAAGATGCCCTCAAAGTCAAACAGGGTTTTAATCTCAAACCTAAAATTTACTGATTAAACCGTGGTAGTCAAATGAGGTTTTTTTTTTAATCTTTTTAATCTCAGAGCTGTACAGCCATGGAGAAAATCAAACAGATGTTAACACAGAGGAGAAAATAGTCTCAAAGCTAAGAATAGAAACTAATCCGTTATATCCATTATCATGGCTAGGTTATTGGAGGCCGTGTGTAAATTCTTCTAAAGGGGCCCTTAGATCTCGAACTTTTTTTTTCTGAAATAATAAAAAATTTATAGCTGTATTACATTGAGCAAATCCACTTGCATTGTTTTCCCAAAAATAATTTTGTTTGTTAACGAGATTCGAACTTAGGATCAACAAAGTCATGGACCCAATGATCTAACCACTGCTCTATACCTATTTTTCTGCTTTTTAATAGCAATAACTGATAGATATACTTGATTTCGATACCCCTATTTTTTGGGCCTTACCGTCGCGCAATTTGCACACCCTATCCACGCCCCTGATTATATTTGTGTCGGCATTAATTAAAGCAATCAAACCATGTCAATAAATAAATTGGGTAATTTTGAAAAGCAAAAATTGGCAATGCCATACATTTGACTTTTATTCTTTGATACGATCTCAATTATTAGTCAAGGCAACCATCTTTTAGGAGCTAACATTTTTCTTTCTTTGCATTTATAAAATGCTGGGGAACTAACAGATCTTTTTATAATCCACTCTGTAATTGCATTATTAGCTTTAATAAATAAATGCCACCAAAGTAATCTATTGATTTATTACTTTTCTATTCGGAATAATTGGAGGACAATAGCATATTTCTTGAGGACACGACTTCGAGCACCATGGATATTAGGGGTGTGAGCGTTTAATGTCGAAAGGATGAGAGTTATCTATGAACATATATTATATTGTATTTACCACAAATTAATAAAAAAAGATTTTCCAATTTTGAACTTTCAATTTAGAGAAAAAAGTGGGTAGTGGTACAAGTAATTAATAATAATAAACAATATATTATTAATATATAAAAATTTAAGAAAACTATATAATATAAATTTTAATATAATAAATTTAATTTCGCATAAAATATTTTTAAAATAATTTAGACCACCATTTACCAATCGATTTAAATGACACGATAGTGGACTTCCGCTACAGAAAACATGTATTGCTTTATTATCATATTCAATTTATTGTATAATAATAAATAGTAATAAGTCCATCTATTATTGGTGTTTCTGTTAAATTGGTCGAATTGAAGAAATTTCAAAGCATGGACTAAGTTTTCCAACGACAAATTTTTCTTCTTTAATTGGTTACCTAATAACCTAACTTAATAACAATGCCCCTTCCATCCTCTATATTTTGAATATCTCTCTCATTTTTATATGCTCATAAAACTAATTACGATGATAAACTGTTTATTTATATTTCTTCGTATTGTTATAGATTATGAATTCTAGATTTATTAAGAATAATGTTTCATTTTCTTCTTTTAGAGTCTCTTTTATAATACTAAGATTATATTTAAAATTTATATAAAAAAATTCAATTATTACCTAATTGCTTCTATTATTCTAAGGTTGACTACTTGACGGTGGTGTAAGTGGGAAATATCAAAAGAAGGCAATTATACGAATCAAATGAAATTTTCCCTTGTTAATAATTAGCCAGAAAGCCACGTAGTATAAGTATAAACACAAGTAAGCATTGAAGTTCAATATTACCCCCATGCCGTCTCATCTTTCTCAGTCACAAACCATTGGTGGGTCCATAAGTTCCATGATTATCATCAACCGCAGCAGCGGTTGATCATGTGTCAGACCTCCATCAACAGATATGGGATCCAGTCAAATTATGGAGATGGCTAATCAATGTAGCAGCAACTAGCAAATTAAATGATAAAATAATTGCATGATTATTTAGATAAAGATTAGCATAGATTCAGGAGGTAGCAGGACAATCAGAAAAATCCTGCACTCTTGTTCTTCCACTTTTCATTTCTTCAATATTTTATGTATAAAGTTCCATCGTTTTTGAATATTTTTCCCCTCGTTCTCCTTTTTTTAAACCCTGGGGAACACATTTCTAATCTTCAAGTGTGTCTTCCTCTGGCCATTATAGTCTTCCCTTCCCTTTTTCCATGGTGTGAATATATATATATATCATCACTCTCATTGTTGTCAAGCAAGAGATAATAATAGAACAGATAAAATTACTTTGAAACTCTCTTTCTCAACTCAACAAACATGGGGAGAGCTCCTTGCTGTGACAAAGCTAACGTGAAGAGAGGCCCATGGTCGCCGGAGGAAGACGCCAAGCTCAAGGCTTATATAGACGAAAACGGCACTGGCGGCAACTGGATTGCATTGCCTCAGAAGATAGGTTAGCAATACTTCTGTTCTTCATATAAATCTTTGTAGTCCAAGTTTCCTTTTTTCTGTTGAACGATACCAAATTTCAGGGCTAAAGAGATGCGGCAAGAGCTGTCGTCTTAGATGGTTGAATTATCTTCGACCAAACATCAGGCATGGAGGGTTTTCAGAAGAAGAGGATAACATCATTTGCACCCTTTACATAAGCATTGGAAGCAGGTATATATATATATATATTAGTTGGGGTCTTTTTTCTTCTTAATAGTTACGCCACTTATGTTGAATGCGCAGATGGTCTATAATTGCAGCACAACTGCCTGGGAGAACCGACAATGATATTAAAAACCACTGGAACACAAAGCTTAAAAAGAAGCTCCTGGGCAAACAGAGAAAAGAGCATCAAGCTGGGAGAGCTACCTGCCTTACCTTTAACCAAGAAATGAATATAGGAAGTGAGGATTATACGGTTCCTGGAACGATGAACCAGGCCGCACACTGGCCGCTGCTGCCACCACCAGTCATGCCCTTACCAAGCACGCCCCAAGATTCAATGAATTTTCGATACCCTTTCGATGTTTCGTTTGCTCAAGACCAGCCATATGAGTATTCCATGAACATACTTTCATCTGCTTCTTCCCTTAGTCCCTTAAACTGTACTTGTTCTCAACTCACAGACGGAATTTCCCATTTTAATGTTAACGATGTTGATGGTCCTGATGATGTGTTTCAAGGTCTTGATAGTTTCCAAGCGGAGCTAAGTGAGCTGATCTACTGCAACAATCAACATATAATGGATGGGATTGATGGCTTTTATGGAACAGAAAACATGGTCGATGGCAGCAGTACTGGGACTAGTTCAGTTGAAGGTAGAAGCTCGGGAGACATAAATTCACTACCCTATCCTCAAATTGTGTCTGGATTTGAAGCTTGCCAACATCAAAGCATTCCCACAAAATTCTACCTGTGATGAATCAAGCTACTTCGGGCCACAACGACTGCACTGTATACATGGGTGGTGTAAATTTGTATCAACTAGGGGTATAGATTGTTTTTCATCAGAGAATTTCAGAAAAGAAGAGAAAGAGATTTTTTTTGCAATTCAACTTTTATAATCTTTCCATTCCTTTCTCCTCAAAACTAGTTGGTTTATATTCTACTTCAAATTATCTATATCAAGTATAAACATCTTCTCTCTTCTGGGTTTTCTTTAACTTGCAATTTTCAGACTGTTTGCTTTGATGGAAAAATAATCACGCACATTATTTTAAACAAAACACTTGCTTCCACTAAGTTAAAAAAAATTATTAAGTTAACATGGCAAATTACGTAATCGAGAGATTCTGCCCACGATGTTCATGGAGGACATGGATTAAGCTTTAAAAAGAAAAAAAAAAGCTCCCTACTGAATATAGAAAATGAATTTCATGTTGCAATAGGAATTCCATTTGTTGGCTGGTATCGTTTTCCGTACAGTAACGGAATTAATGACGAGCTTCACGCACTTTGTTCAATCGCCATGCACCATTGTTCACTCCCCCAGACAAGGAAACTAATAATGTGATATTGCTTCTTCTTCTATTAAATGAATTTCCCGATAATGGTAGGGAAATGATGACACCGAAAAAGATAATCAAGATTTGTGCTTAACTATAAAAGAGTTTAATTTATTTTTAAAACATATGGGATAATGTGTATTGTAGGGAAAAGGCAGCCCATATGAAATTAACCATAGATATGTGTTTAGGGATCTTAGAGTAAGGGAGAGAAAAAGAGTGTACAGCATTATGCTAAACTAAATTGACCTACTTCTTTTCTAGGCTTGGCTGCATTCGAGATTTGAGTGTTTCATAAGTCAATCATGTATCACTTTCCATCATTTGTTTATAATGGAGGCTACCATCTAACAACAAAATAAATCATTGCATATGCTAGAAACAAGAACCCTAAATTTCTAATGGGATGAGACACTAGGTCCCTTAAGCAAGGTTAGAGTTTCGAATTCTGATGTTTGTAAATAGAGAAAACTGGGTTGGGAGGGTCGCCCTCGCCTCTGCAGTACCCGATTTTGATTAGTTGGTCAATAGATCGGATACCAGTGATTAATTCAAAAAAAATAACCCTAAATTAATTAAATATTGTTTTTCTAAAACTAATTGCATTAATTTATTTAAGTTTTTATTCATACTTATTTAGTTATTTATTAATAAAAGAATACCATAATTTGTTTTATATATTCATATATATTTATCTTTACCATCTTTAAATATCGAGTTTATAGACATAAACTAAAATGTTATTTCATTTCGAAAAACATGCAACGAGCACAAAACCTACTCCTAACTCAATTAACACATTTAAGTTTGATTAAAAATAGTAGAGGCATGATAGATTTAGCAAAGATTGAAGTATTAGATTTCTGAGTATTCAATTTCGATTTTTATTATACATACATTTTTTTAAATTGAATTTATAATTTAAGATTGAGTATTACTACATGTGAATCATGTTCAAAGATATTTTGATTTATGTTTAGATTTATCTTAATTAACAGTCTGCCTATTCATGTTTTATGATAAATGATTTTAGTTTTAATTATATAAGTATATTGATTTTATTTATCCAGGGTTAATACAATTTAAGTCCAAATATATATATTTTAATTATCACTTCATTTGTTTTTATTTATAATAATTATTTTTATCATATTTATATAAATATAAAGATCATATTAATAATTTGATTGAATACTTGATTTTTTGCATTGTAAAGAATGAAAGAAGGGTTTTATTAATATTTTGTTCACACAAACAAATAAACGTCAACCAGGTCATTGTCAAAATTGACTTTTGAGTAAATGGATATGTGATAATGGATTTTACACGCAGGTGTCGCACATCGGATGAAATCTTTTAGTTAAACGTCCTTTTGACTTGATGATAAAAAGGATGAAGAGAGGCAGATTTGATGAAGGTAAGGGAAGCTAAAATTGAAGATGGGAGAAAAAATATAATTATTTTAAAATATTTCATATTTCAATTTATAAGTATTATTAATATGTTATATTTCCATCAATTACATTTATAAATATTTAATTACCACCCCTAGAATTTTCACGTTGAATATGAAAAATGACAACGTCAAACTTTTTAATAAAAAGGTAAAAGTTGAGAGATTTTGAGACAAGCTTCAATCTTACCATCTTGATATTGTCGTCGCATGAAAAACATTTTCCATGTGAATTGCAATTTGGTCCTTAAAAGCAAAACAAAATTTTACAAAATGTAGTGGTAAATCATTATATGTCAATATCTAGTGGACGGCTGCTTATTTTTTAGGTATAATATTAAAATTAAGGTTTTACGTTTATTAAAATGGTAACTTTAATTTTATTTTATTTTCTTCTTTTTTAAGTATTTTAGTTTAAACGTTTTATTTTAATATAAAAAATCTTTATTGTATAAGTAGTCGTTTTAAATATTATTCTTTTTTAAATAATATTTTAATTATTTTAAGGTAAATTACTCTTGAATGAAACCTTGATTGAAGGCACGTCCTGTCAAATCCCATTAACCATGACCAAACTCTTGAATGAAACCTTGATTGAAGGCAGCCACCCCAGGCCACGACGATTCCACATACCCTTTTCACTTTTCTGTAGATTAAATTCTAATAAATTATTCAATCGTATTTTATAGTATATCTTGGGGGTATGCACACTCACTAGCAGGACAATAATATAAAGAGAAAATCGTTTCAGTGACTAAAAATACCTTATAATATATGATTTTAACTAATTTTTTTTGGATTTGCCAAAATGACCAATAAAATCGCAATGCGAAATAAAAATCGTAACGCGATCTCCAGAATCGCAAATCAGTTCCCAGAATCGCAACGCGATTATGAAGAATCGCAATGCGATAGTACAAATTCGCTTTGCGATTTTCCAAAATCGCAACGCGAATATGAAAATCGCAACGCGAACATATAAATCGCAACGCGATTCTGACTATCGCAACGAGTATCCGTAAAATCGCAACGCGTATCCGTAAATCGCAACGACAATACGTAAAATCGCAACGCATATCTGTAAATCGCAACGAGAATACGTAAATCACAACGCGTATCTGTAAATCACAACGAGAATACGTAAATCGCAATGCGTATCCGTAAATCGCAACGGCAATACGTAAAATCGCAACGCGTATCCGTAAATCGCAACGCAATCGATAATTCGCAACGCGATCTCCGGTATCGCAAATCAGTTTTCAAATTCGCAACTCGATTTCTGAATTCGCAACAGGTTTTAATTTCGCAACACAAATGTTTTGGGTATATTAACTACGCATCAGCAGTAACTCATAACCTAAATCCCTAAATCGCAACTCATTCCATCTCCATCTATCACTCTCTCCGACGATATCCGTTCCTATATCCAACAACATCCTTCCCCATCCGGCAACAGGTTTTAGTTTCGCAGCTCGTTTGTTTAGTAAATTAATTTACAATAATGAAATCATCTAATGTTGATCATGTTTGGATAGATTTGTGTTTTGGAGGGTCATGGGAGAATGTTCATGGTGTTTTACAATATATGCCTTTACCCATGAATCTTCAACTAAAACTGTCATTAAAAAAGTTAACTTATGAAACTCTAATGTTACGTGTTGCAAATAAATTGAATTTAGAGCCCCTAAGTGGATTTAGGCTATCTTATCAGAGAAATGGTAAAGTTTATTTGTTAACCGACAATGAAGATGTTGAACGATTCATTGCTTACATTAGTGTTTCAAGTGATGATGTTACATTATATGTTGTTGAACCTAGAAGTAGTGAAGTTGGGTCAGTAGCGGGTAGTAATCAACTAAGTTTTTCAACCCCAGTTTATGGTGCTCAAAATTTAATGGTTCCACCACAATTTCATCACCAAGCAAATATTGTTTAACCACATTTCCAATACCAAATACAATCTCAAAACCCACAACCTTTCCCTAATCCAAATCCCCAATCAACTTTCAGCACCAAATTCCGGTTTTCGTATTGACCAGTTAGACGATGATGAGCCAACAGAAAAAATTGTGAGTACTAGTCAGTATTCGAAATTTGATCTTGGTCAATACCCAGACTTTGATCTTGGTCAATACCCAGACTTTGATCTTGGTTAATACTCAGATTTTGATTATTTTTCAGAAGAAGAAACAGACCTTGCGTGTAATGATTTTGATATTGGTCATGTAACATCCTCCATGCCGGGTTAGTGATTAATTTGCAAAGTTTCAATATTTTGTGATTTAAGTAAAATGATGGAAGAGTTGAATGACCTATTTGAGTTATTTGGTGTAGGATTGAATTATAAAGAAGGAGAATTAAGAGGGCAAAAGAGTAATTTAGTAAGTGAAATAATTAAATATTCATTAGGGTGATTTTATAAATCACGTGGGCATTTGAGATAAGCATTCCAGACTTTTCTCTCTTCTTCTCTTCCTTCTCCAACCGTGAAGCTTGCAAGTAAAGGTAAGAATCTGAACCTTGGTAGTTTCTTTGATTTTTAGCTTGGAAATTGAAGTTTGGATGTTATATGAGCTAAAGGAAAGCTTATATGACATTAAGACAACAAGATAAGTGTTTTAGAGATAGATTTGGAAAATGAGTTTTTAGATGAAATTTTGATATGGATGAGTTTTTGAAGTTTGAATAAGATTTTTGACTTGTCAATAAGTTAATTAAGAAGTATGAGGTAATAGAATTGAAATTAGAACAAGTTGGAATTTGAGTAAGATTCTTCAATTCTATATGGATGATTAGTTTTTTTTAGTTTAGAGGTATTGAATGGATAATAATTAGTTTAAGTAAGTGTATGAAAGCTAAGAGTATTAAAGGGAGTGAAATATGTATGTTTGAGCTGAAATGAGATGATTTCCGAGCTCAAAATAGGATTTCTGGGCTAGGGGAATCGGTACCCATTCAAGGGGAACCGATACCCCCTCAACGAATATGAATTTCCAGAATGCTAGAGGGGAATCGATACCCCCAGGGGGAACCGATTCCCCATGTATAAAAAAAAAGAGAAAAGAAAGAAATACTAAAC